CTTTTAAACTGCATTTCTTATATTTTATTTTAGCTGAACCTCAATCCACATTCCTTTGAGCTTGTGTATCAGTGTGCCAGAGTATATGTATTGATGTGGGAGTATATATAAAAGTCTATTTGTGCATACATGTGTACATGTACCAGTCTGTGTGGATTTCTGGGTTTACAATTCGTGTTGCTGTGCATCTAAGAAGATGCATATCTCGGTAAGATGAGCCAAAAATAAGATGAGTTACCTGCCCAGCATGGCTCAGTGGTTGAGTGTGAACCTGTGAACCAGGAGTTCAAGGTTTGATTCTGGTCAGGGCACATGCCTGGGTTGTGGGCTCAACCCCCAGTGTGGGGTGTGCAGGAGGCAGCTGATCAATCATTCTCTCTCATTGGTGTTTCTTTTTCTCCCTCTTCTTTCCTCTCTGAAATAAATAAAAATATATTTTTAAAAAATAAGATGAACCAAAAAAAAAGTAAAATAAAAAAAAGTTAAGAACCACTTTGGTAGGGATTCCAAAACTATGCCTAAGAGTATATTTTAAAACTATTTGTGGTTTATGTTTATTTAAAACTAGAGGCCCAATGCACAAAATTCATGCAAGGGGCTCGGCCTTTGCAGCCACAGCTTCGTCTGGAAGGTCATCCGGTCTAATTAGCATATTATGCTTTTATTAGTATAGATTTTCACCATTTATCAGATGAAGGAACTGAGCTGTGGCTAAAACTTGAGCCCGATGTACCTACCATTTGGTAGCATCAGGTGAGAACACACCCTGTGGGCAGAGAGTAGGATCTGAGGGAATAATCGTTATAATTCTCAATTATCCTGGAAAAGAGACAGCTTCTGGGTCAGGAGATGAAAAATTGGCAGCTGGGCCTTATACTGTGGTAAGGAGAGAATTACTTCTCTCTGAGCAATGGTTCTCTTGGGAAACGTTCTGAGGAGTCTAGACACACTAAAGGGCTTTCCCATGTGATGGAGAGAAGCTGGGCTCTGCCATATGCAACCAGGTCAGGAGCTAAGCAGCCCCAGAGCAAGGGAGGGAGGCTGGCTCATTGCTGCTGTGCTATGGTTGGGTTTGCCTACAGATGACAGAAAACGCACACACACACAAAGGAGTCCCAACGTAACTACTCCAAGGATACCGCGCTGACTTCCCCATGTAATCAGGGATTCTATGACTTTCTCTCTGCTCTACCATTCTCAGCACCTGAATTCCAGCCTCAAAACCACCTCCTGCTCTAAGATGGCTGCTGGACCCCCATCATCAAAGGCAAGTGAAACATGGCCCAGTTGTATCAGCTCCTGCAAGGAGCCTTCCCAGAAGTCCATTTCTGTTGTGTTAGCCAGAACTTTCTGTTGTGTTAGCCAGAACTTAGTCTTGTGACCATACCTAACTGCAAGACAGGCTGGGTAAAGTATCTTTTTAGCCTGCTTCATCCCCCAGGTAAACTGTTTTTCTGTATCAAAAGGAGAGAATGGATTTGGGGGGTGGAAAGTTTTTCTGCCATAGGTGAGCAAACAGACTGCATAGGATGTACAGCTGCCAGCTGGAGAATGACTTTGGTATACACTTTATACCTGAGGCTGTACACACACACACACACACACACACACACACACACACACAGTGATATTAAATGTTGCAACCACTTGGTGGATGTACTAAGACGTATTAAAGGAAGGATCTGTGTCCACTCTTGGGCACAGGGGAGAGCAGCACCCAGAGGCAGTGTGGTGGTGGCGGTCGTGGCCTCAGAGAGCACTGGTCTGCACCAAACCACAGAGAACTTTCTGTAGCAGCAAATCCACTTCACACTCAGAGACAATATGTCTAAGTTTTCACTGCTGAGGGGGCGGTGGCAACATAGCAAGACACTTCCTAGAGACCCCCTGAGAAACACTGCAGGGTAAGAACACCTCCGAAGTTGGCCCGGGTCCTGTCATTCCACAGGTGAAGGTGACCAGGTCAGTAAACTTTGTGCTGAACCATGTATACCTGCTCATGTATTCATGAACCATGAGGCCTGGGGGATAGCTGAGTGATCATAAGTAAAGGGTGCATATAAAAGTATTTGTCCTGTAAAGAAAGAATTTGGTTAAGAAAATGTGGATGCATGAATTCTAGACTAAGTCCCAGCTTTTTTTAAGTGAACTTTTAAAAGAGGGTTGGTGCTCACTTTGGTGGCTGGTAAGCTTGGTGATTTTCAAGGCATGTTTCATGGAACTCTCTAGTTTCCTGGAGTACCTCAGTGACCAGAGGGAGGCCAAGTGGTACGCCAACTCCCGTGGTGTATACCATATTCATATTTTTGTATTCCATATAAATTTTCACTTGAAAAATTAAAAATTACTGGCTTAGGTATTAAACTTATCAATGATCATTATTTAATAAAATTAGTCTCATTATCTTAAACAGAGAAATACTGCAGAACAGCTGAATAAAAGAACATGAATATATACCAACTCTTCTAAAAAAGAATCCCAGCCTACACCGACATGAACTGAGATATGCAATACTAGGCACTATGATTTAGGTACTAAAGAAGGTTCTGAACATCATCATTTAGGAGGAAAGGAAGGGATTCTACATGAAGACAAACTTTGAAAATTCTCATTTACTCATCTGGAGGGAATGGACAGATGGGTAGAGTAAGTAATAAAAATCTGATTGAAGTTTTCCAAATCATGGAGGATTTAGAAGTGAACCATAGACTCTTTAAGCAAATCATGGAGTTCTCAAACCTGAGACAACTAGAGTTTAAAAGAAGCAGATACAACAAATAAGAGGAAGTACTATTCACAAAGCAGAGAGTGAATTTATAAAACCTATTATCTCAAGTGGGCATACAGGTGGAATATAAATTAGGCATGGAAAAGACTTCAGTACATTGTAGATCACATGAGTTCTTTAGGTCTTGACTTCTATGAATGGATCTTAGAAACCTGCAACAGGAAAACTGAGATAAGCTAGAAATGGCTTGAAGCCCATGCTAACCTTTGTGACCAGTATTTTTTTAGGGACTCATTACTTTCCACACACAATCCTGGAATTCTTTCAGACTCAGATACTGGTCTGGGTGAACCCTGGGCTGACATGTATTCTTATGGGTGTTTATATACTGGCAAGTACTAAAACTTCCTCTACAGCCAAGTTTTCCCAAAGCAATGGGCTAAAACATCAACTTATAAGACATACACTGTTGTTACTGGCCATGTGAGAACATATGCCCGCTTGGCATGGTTAGCTTTATGCTTTGTTTACCATAACAGGGATGGTAATTACAACAAGCAAGTATTTATGTCACACTATGTTAATAAAAATGCTTTTAGCAATGGCTACAGACAGGCCATTACTCCTGATTAAAAATGAAAAGTCACTGAATGCTGGCTTTGTGCCACAAATTAAGGTACTGTAGCTATATACTTACAGCTTTTTATTCAAACTACCTTTATTACTGAAATCCCAGCAGGAAAAAAAAACATCAATTCTGTTACTGAAAATTTAAGCCTTAATCTTCTAGCACTTCGCTTTGTTCTGAAACAATGGGACTGGGGGTGCAGGAGGTGACTTGAGATATAATTCTTGCATGACGACAGAGCCGCCTTCAATGGGGAGCTTTGACTAGACACACATCATTATCAGCAGGAGGAGATGTGATTCATTAAAGAGAAATAACTGGGCTGCGGTTCAGGCCACTCTGGAGAGTCTGTTCCAACACTATGAGAAGTATGGCCCTACACAGAGAAGAAGGGGATCGCTGCTGAATTAAAAAGCTGCAAGTGACCTTCCAAGGTCACCTAGTTCATCCCCTTCAGGCAGAAACCCTTTGAACCCACAGTGATTCGTTGCTATGGCGGCCTGAGCCTGTGCATGCATTCCAGAATCACTCCAACATTGAGAACTTCATTGCCAAGAAATTCTTCCTGATTGAAATGTAATTTCTCATGCTATGGCTAATTTGCTTTTTGTTTTTTGTTTTCTGTTTTCTTCTCTTGAAAGACAAATAAGCTGGTCAGGTAAGACTACAGAACCCAAAGAATACAACCTGGCCAGAGGTGGTGAATTCAAATCTAGAGAACTCGTTATATATCCATTCCTTCTCCCAGGTCTAAAGAACAGCGAATGCTATTCTTGGCAGGCAGAGGACACTGGCAGGAGGCAGCTGGTCTACCTGTTTGTGGATAACTAAAATTCTTTACAGCTCAGGGTACAATGCACCAGGGAATCATTTCTAGTGCCAACCAAAAAAAAAAAAGGTATGAAAAAAGGAAGGAGAGCAGCAATTTAAAAGTCTATAAAAATATAAAACACGAAGCTATGTGGGTCTGAGCCTGGTGCTTGAGCATGAGGGTGAGCAGGGGGTCTCTTTTTCACCCAGGTAATGATCGTATGAGCCCCATAAGGAGATGGTTAAATCAAACACTGAGATGACTGCTCTTAAGAGGGGAAAAATATGTCAATCACACTTTGCCTTTGACACAAGGAAATTCCTTGAAACTGAGAATGGAGAGTGGAAGGGAGGAGAATGTCTCCTGATGTGGGTGGCCAGGAAACCAGGGGCCAGAAAAGTATGAGAGGAGAGAGGGAGAAAGAGACAGAGAGGGAAAAAAAAACACAAGATTGAATTCTAATCAAAATGCTATGAGGCGTTCACACCAGGCCTTGAGAGAATATTAACAAGGTTACCCAAGGGGGGGCCTTTAGCCCCAGGAATTATTAGTGAATATGGAATTATATTTGCACAAACATTACCAGATGCAAGGAGCTAAATGTCCTGCAGATGTGGAAGGAGCCAGCGTATGTTCCAAATAGGCGGCAGCTTTATTTTTTTTAACCTTCTTACAAGAGCCTGGGCAGCACGCTTCTGAGGGGATACATTCTGGAATGGCCACCCCAGCACTTGGCCCCTGTTTCAAACAGCAACTGCTGCTCGCACAGGCCTCTAAAGTATCTCTAGCCAGGGCGAGGTGGAGTGGCCCCCGGGCAGGTTTGACAAACTTACCAGCTCACCTCCACCCCGTCCAGGTACCATAACACTCCAAGGGATCAAGGTGCTCCAAGAGGGATTTTCTAAAAAAAAAAAAGAGTTCAGAGTCAGGTAAATCACAACAATTTAAAAGAGGAGTTTTGAACTAAAATATAACCAGCTGATTCTGGGGGAAGAAGACAGCAAAATACAAGAAAAACAAAAAGTTTCTTTCTGATATGCCACTATCAGATCCTCAAAATTTGATTTCATTTAGATTCACCACTGCTGAAGGAGACCTAAACATCTCTGTGGTTAGAAAGTCGTTGCCTTCGGGGAATCTCCTGATTTTGTAACCATAAATCCCCACCGCCATCTTGCTCACTTCCAGCAAGACTAGCCAGGGTGAAGGACAGAATTCCTCAGCATGTGGATATGACACATAGAGGCAGGTGACTATGAAGCGAATGGCACGAGTCCCTTCTAAGTCCCTGGTGGGGGCTCTATCCTTGTGTGGGTCTAGTTATAAGTTTTCGTAAAGTTTATAAAACTAAGGTATTTAACATCAGTTAGTTAATACTGCCCTGCCCGTCCCTCTGTCCCATTTCACTTTGTATGGATTGATTTTGGAGTTGAGTTGAAGATACATTTAGCTTGAGTGGAGTGGGATATATTATGTGGTTCATATCACTTCTGTGTATGGTTGATTGCTAGCTACCTGGTTGTGGGAACGAATTCTAGAAACACTCCTATCACTGTCATTGCTTCTTCATCCAGGGAGCTGGGAGACCAAGGTATGTCATGGTGGGATGTGAATGTGTCCTACAATGCCCAACCCCGAAATTAGGAGGATAGTGGAAGAGAAACAGGATTGGAAATGTACAGAATCAGAAGCTAGTCCATGGAATACTTATCTAAATCTTACCACTCTTTCATTAAAACCGTGATAGAGCCCAGCCGGAGTGGCTCAGTGGTTGAGTATCGACCTATGAATCAGGAGGTCACAGTTCGATTCATGGGGTTGCAGACTTTATCTCCATTATGGGGCATGCAGGAGGCAACCAATCAATGATTCTCTCTCATTGATGTTTCTATCTCTCTCTCCCTCTCTGTTCCTCTCTGAAATCAGTAAAACACACACACACACACACACACACACACACACACATTTATATATACAAACAAACAAAAAAACCTTGATAGAAGTTTTTCCAAATTTAACAATTATGAAATTTTGCATGTGTTACAGGGAACAAGTTGTGGTGCTGAAAAAAATTTCCCAAACTATCAATAATAAAAAATAAAGTTTGATGAATCATACTGGAGGAAAGTTGAAATATGTTTTTGTTCTTTTCATACATATTTGCATGATATAATTTTTTGTCATGTGAAGAAGCCATCAAAATATGTAGCATATGTATATCTGTATGTGTGTACTTATAAACATACTTGTGCATACACACACACACACATAACATAGAGGTATTTCAGGTAGTTAATAAATTAAAACTTCATGTTGTTTTATTGGAATTTGTTATATTTGTTTGTTGGGCACCTTTTTAGTAATTTGTTGTGATATCTTTTCTCATTCTAAGTAAATGATAGCTAATTTTATAAACAAACTGTGTATTCTTTTTTTTAAAGGTCTCTAATAATGTATAAGCCTAAGACCCAATATAACCCAAATTTGCCTCTGGTGTAAGCAATTTTCATTTTATTTTACTTCACTCACCAACTTATAAGATTAGTCTTATTCAAACCATTTTCCCCCTTGAAAACCTTTTTATTTTTTAATCATTTTTTATTTTTCAATTACAGATGACATACAATATTAGATTAGTTTCAGATGTACACACCTGACATTATATAACTTACTAAATAATCATCCCATTAAATCTCGTACTCCTCTGACACCACTCATAGTTATTAGAATATTGTTGACTATGTTCCCTATGCTGTACTTTACATCCCCATGACTATTGTGTAACAACCAATTTGTACTTCTTAATCCCTTCACCTTTTTCACCATCCCAGCACCCTCCTCCCATTTGGCAACAGTCAAAATGTCCTCTGTATCTATGAATCTGTTTCTGCTCTGCTTGTTTGTTTATTTTGTTTTTTAGATTTAATTGTTAGTAGATCATACCATTTTTAAAGAGAGGCACCTGAGACTTTAATCACATAACTCCTAAGTGGATTTGAATACAAGGTCTGTCTTATTCCAAAGGAAGTCAATTAGTCCTGGCCCTCCCTGTATTTCCCAGCCCCACCAGAGGGCATGCTGATCCTCCTATGCTTTATCTAGTTTGGTTTAATGGCTTCCACTGACACCCTTCCCCCTGCCACTCGAACCCATCTGCCCTTTGAACTACCTCATTGTTAAGAGATCTGAAAGATCTCACTGTCAGAAAACTTCTTCATTTCCTCCCCATTACTCTGAAATGTGCCCTGTGGACCCCTCAGTCAATTCCTTCTTCTTGTGATACCTGACAATTTTCTTTGTGTGGTATTTACACTGCATAGAAACAGGAAAGACATTTCAAAGCATCTGGGCTGAAGAACACACCATCTTTGAAATAGTTTTTTTAATTGAAATTCAAAGCACACCCTCTCCAGGAAGCCCACCAGATTAATTCCAGGCAGCAAAATCCCCATGCCATCCCCTTAAAAGTCCCTTTATAACTTGCTATTGGCTATTCATAACCACATTGGATGTGTTTGCTTATATTCTCTTAGAAAGATCGAGATTAGCAATGCCTAACAATCTTTACTACTTAAACCTAATTGCATATTTGGATTCCAAAAATTTTGTGGGAACTCAGTACAATTTTCAGACGATATAATAAAAGTAAGTGAAGTCTGTTGTATTTTTTCCTTCACTACACCTCAGCATCAATCATGTTGCTTTTAAAATGAAAAATATGCAAGTCCATTTTGTGTAAAAAACCTCACTTCTGTGGTAGAACAAAAGCTCATCAAACTCCTGGCCTGGGTCTCCCAAGCTCTAACGTATGGCTTTAGCTCTTTCAGTGTGTAATAGCGGTAGACAAAAATGCTTCAGTTTCTCTATCTGTAAAATAAGAATCGAGTTGTTTCTTTCCCATTCACTTCACAGAAGTCTCCCGGGGAACAAGAGTTAAATGATTAATGACTGCAAGTCCCTGGATAAACACGAAATGCTTAATAAAAATAATCCCTTCTGACCACAGTGATAGGCACCAATGACCTGATACTAAACCTTGACTGCAATTCAGATAAACTGTGGGCCCTGTCCACGGATGCAGGCTTCTTTTCCCCTGGCGAGTACATTCTGGACTCCTGTTCCTTGACTCCGTCCACTGACAGGCTCCTGTTCACAACCCTCCCGCCCCCAATGGCTCATACCCAGCCCCCAAGTAATATGAAAAGCGGTTTCCTGGTTGTGGAGGAGCAACATGTGGGAAAATGAAATGCCCCATTGTGAGGTCACTATAACTTTATCCTCCCTTTTCCAGGGAACATGCTTGCTCAGCCCATACCACAACATTATTAAGAAAACTATATGAGCCTGGCTGGCATGGCTCAGTGGTTGAGTGTCGGCCTATGAACCAGGAGGTCATGGGTTTGATTCCTGGTCAGGGCACATGCCCAGGTTGCTCCATCCCCAATAGGGAGTGTGCCGGAGGCAGCCGATCAATGATTCTCTCTCATCATTGATGTTTCTATTTCTCTCTTCCTCTCCTGTCCTCTCTGAAATCAATAAAAAATATATTTTTTAAAAAAGGGCCAAGGAAGAAAACTATATGAGATCAAAACTCAGTTTTTCATCTAGTTTAGGTCCTTCCTAAGAGAAGTTCTTGCATAGCTCAGGAAAGGGACTCCAGGTGAAATACACTTCTTGCCGAGACTAAAAAAAACCCGGGTGTGCTTAAAAAGTATATACCTGTCTCTTGGTACGAACTGCAAAGGTTATTTTAAAAGGAAACAGGGGATTCTGGCATATTTTCAGTTTACTGTGTTTATGGGGCATAATGTATTCCTGGTGTTCAGGTATAAGACAGCCACGTGAAATCACCCTGAACACAATCTGTGTGTAAATTCAGAAAACTCAAGATGCGTACTTACTTGACCTACTCTGCTGCATGTTGAACTGTCTTGTCCTAATTTACTTTCTTTTTATTCTCTTCTTTAAGAGAATGAAAGAAAAATAAGGGAGTTCCTGTTAGAGAAAAGAACCACCACGCTCCGTTATGGTTCATGAAGCAGAGGACAAAGCAACATGAGGAGCTGGGCTTTGGAATCAGACAGACCTGGGTTTGGAATCTTAATAATACCAGTTACTAGCCCTGGGGTCTTGAGCAAGTTATTTGACTTCCCTGAATCCATTTTCCTGTCTATAAAGATGGATTTTAAAAAAAGTATATATATCCTAATGAAGAGTGAATTCGATATTGTATCAAGTGCCTGGCAGAGTGCCTAACTTACAATAGACAACCAATACATAATAGCTGGTAATAATCATTATAATGAAAATAACAAATTTCTGAATTGTCAATAAATCTATTATAGAAAATCAGCAAAAGTTTTGGAGAAACTATGGGAACTACAGGAAAGGAAAATACAATGACTTATACAAAATAAAAATGGCCCTAGAAGATCAGACCATATAGTTTCATTTTTGAAAATGTTCGTAAAAATATCTCTTTATGCAGTCTTTGCTTTTGCTTAAAGTATATGCCAACCATAGCATAGGTTCTTAAGTTGGACAGGTTATAACACTATACCACAATACACTCATTCCTCAGAAACACTGCATACCATAAAAATTGCATGTTAAAATAAGAGGGAGAAGGAGAAATATATTCATCTTTGTAACCAGAGCACTAACAAAAACAGTAATTATTGCGTGGGACATAACTTGAACGCCCGGGAAGGCAGATCAGCTAGAGGTTGCCTCAGGGGTAATTTTAGAATGAATAAAAGCAATAGTGTGGGACTTCTGCTTCTGACCAACATGGAGTATAAAGAATTATATTTACCCAGTTGTGTAAAATAACTTAAAAAAGAAAGAAAAATAACTGGACAAATATATGAAACAATAGCTCTCAAGATATTGGAAATAAGC